GAGTACATTTTGACGAGTGTAGAACACCAGAATTTGGTCAAAGCCATTAATTCTATGATAAGGCACATATTCATGACTGTTATCTCTTTAAAAAATTGTTTTTATGGTTAATTTTATTACAAACATAACGTTGTTTGCAAATGCTTAGCCTGTAGTGGATAACAGCGTAATGTTTAGTATAATAGTCTGCCGCTTGAGTAGAAGAAAAAGTTGATGTTTTTAAAGATCAGTACATAAAAAAAGGGGGGAAAAAAGTAAGAAAAATGAATACAGGAGCTCTGAACAAGGCCACCTACAAAATCCAACAGATACACAATCCGTGCTAAATTAGCTACAGAAGACTAGCAAATGTAGGAACTGACGCTGTTGTTGCTAGTGGGCGTGGCCTGTTTGGCTTTTTAAAGTTGTGCTATAACTTTCTAGTAGCCAGCATGTATACACTGACGTGTACGTGGCGAGAAAAAGAAGGAGAACGTGAATAATGACTGTATGACAGCAATATTTACTGTAAATATTAAATCATATGTTCACTTGTGTCTCTGGTTTTGCATTAGAGCTACACGGCTAATGTAGCTAACAAGCAATAGAAGCTTATAGCATCATCCACTAAAAATGTCTGTGTAAATACACAGTTTTATTTAAAAAAAAAAAAAAAAAAAAAAAAAAAAGCATGATGTTAAACTGAAAGGTTTAAGCTATAAACTTGTTAGCTCTGCCTCTCCGGCGCAAAACTAATTAAACTTTCACTTTATAATATCGGTTTCATTTCTAGTCACACTACTGCTTTAGTATAATAATAAAAAGCTTTAAGTAAAATATATATATTACTGTTTTATCGTACCTCCAGCTGTCTGATGGCCGTTTCTCGCTCATGAATGAGATGCAAATCCTCCTCAGTGATGCCTTCATCGTAGCTTTGTGTCTGAGCCTGGCTCTCACTGTGTTAACACATTATTATTATTATTATTATTATTATTATTATTATTATTGAAAATATGTGAATGTGGGAATTGAAATATATGTAATTATACAAATAATGGAGCGGAAAAGAAACAAATTATACCCGTGTTTCAATTTTAAATGTGTAATATATATATATATATATATATATATATATATATATATATATGTTTTATAATAAATAAATACTATATCCCATGCAAAACTGTAATATCATAAACCATGATGATTTTTTAAAATTACTTTGAGATTCTTTTTCTTTTTTTTTTTTTTTTGCTTTAATAACTCTGGAAGCAAGGATGTTTAAAAAGTTTTTTGGGAAGCAGGAAGTTGTTTTTTTCTCTATTTTCAGAGTTTCTGACCTCTCAAAAGGTGCAGCGTTTCCTCCAAATGTATCATCAGCAAAACCACTCTGCGAACAAGAAAAGTAGGTCACATGACCGCTAAAAAAAAAAAACTACTTTGCAAACAAAATGTAATGTGGACTAATTAAGTGAAGATTGAAACCAGTAGTTGGAACAAACAATATTTTAATTATAATTAACTCAATATGACAGATTATTAAATACTGATGTAAGCAGAAAGAAGCATGTTATAGAAATGTTATACATTATCCCACATTTGAGGTGATCTGGACTTAATAGTCACATGACCACAGAGAAATTACTTCTGACTGAATTATGTTACCTAGTCGAGGTTCTGCACTTGCTAGCATAATGAAAACTAACATGGCTAAATAACTAGCTAGTGTTAATACTGTTTCAATAACATTGTGCAACATATTGAACATCAATACTGAGGCTGAAACACCGGATCGATATCGGATCAGATTTTACGTTGTGAACTTTGGGACACTGGGGAAACCGAGAACCCTCAGTTCTATAGACTCGTCTTACCGAAACTCTTGAACTCGCTCGAACTCTGGCCACAAACTCTTTCTCTTTCTGCGCAGCTTGTCTCTGGGTTTTCTGTAAAAGTGCCAGTGCGTTGGAGAAATCGTTGACGAGCCGCTCTCGCTGAATCTTCCTCTGTCGCTGTTTTTTAATAAAAAAAATTATTAAAACAACAGATAAAAAATTTAATTATGTAACTGTTGCAGTGATAATCGGAATCCAAAATAACAAAATAATGCATTTTTATCACTTCATTTTGACCTTATGAGGTAAAGCTCATGTATAATTTTACAAAAAATGTTAAACCTAACAATGAAGAGGACTATAAAGTGCTGAAAAATGAGCTAACATTCAAGTCACCGAAAGCTGATCATATTTATTTGCACATAATGAAAAATACCATAATTCAATTTTTAAAAATTAAATATTAAATAAATAATATAAATAGAAAATTAAATCAAATTCAAGAATTGAAAGAAGTGAGAATTAGATGTGAACTTGAATTAAAACACTACAAATATTTTTTTAAATATTAAAAATTAAGAAAAATAAAGTTAAAAAATAGTAAAAAAAAAAGAAAAAAGTAGAAAGATTTATTTACTTTATGTATTTTTTTATGCATTTATGTATTATACACTTTTTATGTATTTATGTATTTTTATACTCTCTCTTTTACATAAAAAAGCAGAAATAATATCTAAAAAAAAAAAAGAACTAACATAATGAAAGTAAAAAATACAAAATAAAATACAAAATTACTGAAATAAAATATTTTTAAAAATATCCTTTTAAAAAGAAATAAAACATCCAAAAAAGAAAGGATGGATTGAAATAAGCAAAAAATAGGGGAAAAAAACAAAAATATTAGACTAAAGTAAATAAAAAAATTAACTTTACCTGATCATGAGTGACTGGTAATGAGCTGAACTCCTTCAGGCATTTATCCGTTTCTTTAGCCAGCTGGTTCGCATACTGCTGTTTCTGCTGCCTGTGTGTGTGTGTGAATAAGAAGAGACATATTAACAGACTTTACTAGTCTTGAAGGTATTTATAATGTATAATATTGCTCTTATGTGTGTATATTTCAGCATGTTTATGTGTGTTTTATGCAGACGCAGTGTGTGTAGTCACTCACAGTCGCTGCCGGAGATCCGGCGTGTCTCTATCTGTTCCAAGTTGGGTCACTATCCTCTGGATTTCAGACGCTGTTGGAAATAAATCAGTAAGCGTAGATACATAAAAGCCACATTTAACTTAGATGTTCTTGCAAGCTAGCTAGCATTAGTTAAGTAGCAAAGCTAGCTCTTTGCTATTATCACAAACTGTGATACAATGTTAGCCAAGATGTGAGATGTACTTACTCTGCTGTGTTATGTTCTGGATGTTTGAGCCAATCGTCTGAGCGAGTAAATTTGGGTCCCTTGATCCAGACATGGTGATGACCTTCTACACCTTTAAACAGATATGTTACAAATCAAACAGAACAGGCCTGAACTGCACAAAATATCAATATGTTAATTATTATTATAATCAAGTTTACGCTCCCGCATCAGTAAAGCCAGAGTAGCTCGTAATGTCTCTTTAATGAACTGCGAACTGCTACTTTCAGGACAGAAATCTGTATTTATTAGAGGTGTAAAGATACACTCTGGTCATGAGTCGATTCGATTCACCATACTGGCTTCATGATTCGATTCTCAGAATATTTTGCACAAATTTGGATGAAGAAAAATTACGACTGAAAAGACTCCTTTTTATTTCTAAATCATAAACAAAGCATACCAATGTGCATTTTTGTCTGTATAAAGTAAATAAATAAAAAAAATTGCTAGCTTGAGCTCTGTAGCAGCGTCTGAGGCATCATTTTAACCAGAAATAGAGCTCCAAAGTCGGCTAAAATGGCCGACTTCTGCTGCCTCATTCACAGGTACTGTAGATCGCAGGGGCATGGGGCTAGTGTCATTTGAAAGCTACTGATGAGCTCTTTTTAAAGGTTATAACATGATCATGTAACTGTATAAAGGATATTGCACATCGGTCATTGTGATCCGGAGCTAACGGTCAGTATGCCGTCTATATATTTTAACTCTATGGGTTGTGCTGATTGGGACCTCTGCTGTTCAAACACTGCAAGTGCAATCGGACACTCCCATTACACCCCTAGCATTTATGATAATTACATTTGGCTGAAATTGCTTTCCAAAGAGGCTTACAAGTGAGACAGGATAAAACTGAGCAGTTGAAGTTAATGGTTTTGCCCTACAATAGTAGATTGGTGGTGCTGGGATCTGAACTCACAACCCTCCAAACAGTAACCCAAAGCTTTAACCCCTGAGCAACCACTTTCTAGTTCAATAGCCAGTGGTGGAAAATTCTTGAGTAATTGGAGTTTATTACTATACCCAAGTATTATTTTGGTATATTTATACTTGTGTATTATTAAAATAAAATACTTGTATTCTTACTTAACTACATTCTTAAGAAAAAAAACCTTACCTTACTAAGTTGAGGATGAGCGCTCCTGGCCCTACCTCAGTAAAATGTCTAAGTACGCAGGAGTAAACAAGACTCGTATAAGATGAGAAGTCTCCTTTACCTCGCTTGAAGGCATGAACTTAAACCTAATATGAAAAAGCATAATGTATGTTTGCTAACATTAACTGGCTATATTTAACTAGGTTAGCCTGTTTTCTTTACTAATGCCAGGCTAGCTAGACTAGCATCTATTACAGTAGCTAATATAATTTGGCTAGGCAGCAAGTTAAATTCTAGGATATTTAACTTCAATTTAAATAGCACATGAGCAGCAAACTTAATGACGTCAATGAAGATGATCTAGCAGTTTTAGATAAGTAATACAACTTAAGAAGAGACACGAATCTAATTTCATCATTTACTTTTTTTATACTTGAGTACATTTTTTGTTGGATTCGTCCACTTTTAATTACAATTATGACACATTATCTATGCTTTTGTTGTTGTTCCTCTTTTGGCTGCTCCTGTTAGGGGTCGCCACTGCGGCTCATTGGTCTGCGTATTTGATTTGGCACAGTTTGTACGCCGGATGCCCTTCCTGATGCAACCCTCCCCAATTTTATCCGGGCTTGGGATCGGCACTGAAAGGCGTGCAACAGTGGCTGGGGTCGGTTCCCTGGCGGGGAATCGAACCCGGGCTGCAGCGGCGAGAGCACTGAGGCCTAACCACTAGTTCTCCAAGGACCCCACACTATCTATGCTTTTACTCAAGTATAATTTCTCAGTACTTTTTCCACCACGCCTGATGGCCTGACTGTGGAGCATGAAGACGGATGACAGAAGTCACTCCAATCCACCAATCAGAAACAACTATTATAGGAACCACAAAAGGAATACTGTAATACTAGGGCCTTTCGCACCGCTTTAGTTCCAGAACTAAATTTACAGTACTAAAGTACTGGGCGTTTTTGCGCAAACTATTTCCCAGTACCGTTTAAAGGGTTGCATTCGCACCGACAGTGGGCACTAGGAAGTGACGTAAGCCGGTCGACAGCGACATCATTTGTGCGCGGCGTTCAACAACGGAAACAAAGAAGAACAACGTAAACAACCGGAGGATGGAGGACGCTGTGATCGGAGCTGTGTTTTTGTTGTGTCTCGCGTCCATCTATCGCTGTTCTCCATACTTGCGAAATAAGTTGACACTACAGTATGTTTACACGGCATTTTAAATCATGGCGGGTGAGGGCGTTTTCATACGCGTTTGGCCAATCAACGTCTACTTACGTCACGGATAGTACCAGTTGTGCTGGTTAGACCCTGCTGCGGAGTAGGAGCTAATTCGGTTCTCGAAAAAGGCAGTCCGGTACTAAAATCACACCCAGTTCCGGAGGTGCGAAAACGCCAAAAAGTGGGTAGTTCCACAATTAGTTCAGGTACTATGAAAAGGTTCCCGTGGTGCGAAAGGCCCTCCTACTACTACTACTACAATAACAATAATAATAATAATAATAATAATAATACATTCTCTGTACCGCTTATCCTACACAGGCTCGCAGGGAGCCTGGAGCCCAACCCAGGGGACTCAGGGCACAAGGCAGGGGACACCCTGGACAGGGTGCCAACCCATCACAGGTCACAATCACACACACACTCTCACACTCCAGACGATTTGGAAATGCCAATCAGCCTACAATGCATGTCTTTGCACTGGGGAGGAAACCTGGAGTACCTGGAGGAAACCCCTGAAGCACGGAGAGAACGTGCAAACTCCACACACACAGGGCGGAGGCAGGAACCAAACTGCCAACCCTCGAGGTGTGAGGCAACAGTGCTAACCTCTAAGCTACCATGGACCCAATAATAATAATAATAATAATAATAATAATAATAATAATTGATAATGATAATGATAATGATAATGACGGCCTTTAATATACACGTATGAACATTATGGCTTGTCTCCATATGATATTGTTTCCATAAAGTCTAAAGCTAGAGGTCAAGGTGGAGCAACAATGATAAAATATTAATACTTTATTATTATTATTATTATTATTATTATTATTATTAGTCTGGATTTCAAATAAGATGTGGTGTTTCTCTACATGTCCTCAGGTGTGAGACATCCTGACTATTAAAGCCACTAAAATGACACCATAAAAAAAAAGTTAGATAAAAATACAATGTCGCCATTAAGAAATGCGGAAACACACACACACCTACACACACACACACACACACACACACACACACACACACACACACAGGCTTTAATGTTCACACACTAAAATGTTTATTCGCCTGAAAACTCAAAGCTCGAATAACATTTATTATGACTATTATTTATTATTAATAAGTGTTGTGAAAGCGTGCATGTCAGGAGTGTCAGCACTTCTGTGTTTCACTCTGTGGCTTTCTTTCTGTTTTTAACATTTATCCATAATAAACAGCTCTAATCGCGAGGTGCATTAACGCTCTGAAAAACATGTCTTTTGTGTAATTTACCTTGTTCTTTCGTTGTTTTGTTTTGTTTGTTATTTTCCTCCTCCACTCCCGAACAGATTTCCTGACATCTAAAGTCGCGGCCCTTTCTCATCACATGATGTTTCACCCTGAACGCTGATTGGTGGGTTTGCACCAAGCCAAAGAGCTTTTAAGACACAGAGATCACGCAGTCGCTTAACACTTCCGGGTTGTTCAACCGCGTCAGATGACACGCGTTTCCGTTTCCTAATAAGGGTTGCCATGCTCAGGTGCTGCATCCCTTTTCTCCTATTTATACTATGCACTAAAAGTATGTACTCTTTTTGTGAAAAAAAAAAAAAACATACTTTTGAGTGTGTAGCAAAAGAGTATGCAATACTGCGACTGATGGTGTGTTCGAGTCATGTCGGAAAGATCGTATTTACGAGTCGAATGCACATGAACGCCAGCACAAAGTCGTAAGTACGAGTGGGAAACTTTAGTGCAACCCAAATTGTAGTATGTTGAGATGAGGTTCCCAAAGGAACCCGGATGGTCGACTATTTCTGGTACATTTTCAAAATGTGGAATTGTGGACACGTATTCAGCTAATATTACCCACAACCCCTTGCGCCAGGGAGTAGGAGGAGTTTTGTGATGGTTTGCTTCGCCGAATTCAAGGACGCATTTTAGAGAGGTGTAAATGAAATGTGGACAAAATAAATCAAGGGAATGGTAAATTAAATGATATAGTATTATTGATATAAGGAATAATGAAAGAATTAAAGCTGAAATGTGATGAGGAGTTTGTTTACCGTGACAGTGTGCGTAACTAGGTAACAACGTTCTCTTCCATTGCATGACATGTTAGTATCTGTGCATTCAAGTCTTTCAGGAAAGTTCGTATTTACAAGTTGGGAAGTCGTAATTACGACGTCAGGTGCATTCAAGTCACTGCTGTTGGAGCAAGATGGCAGTGTACCTTCTCTTAATTAGCTACAAAAAATACAGCAAGGTTTTTTTTTTAACTCTACTTTTGGAAAATGAAAAACAAAGATTGCACATCAGGTGTGTTTTGCTTTTTTATGTTTTTACGCCCCAGTTAGTACATCCCAGTACTTGCATACTCTTTTCTTCACAAAAAGGGTACATACTTTTAGTGCATACGTAGTATAAGTAGGCGAATTAAGATGCGGCATTTCTATGAGCTCCGACTTTCCGAGTTGGGGGCGTCAGTAAGAAAACATGGCGGAATCAAAGGATGCAACGTCTGTAGTTGAAGGTAAATTTGTTGAAATTGAATGAATAATTAGCAGTGACATGTCTTTGTCAGGCTTTTGTATTTACAATAAATCAAGCTAATTGCCTCCATAAAATACTATAGCATTGTATATTTATGATATTATATGTAATGATAAAGTTTACAGCAGCTTCATAAATTGATTAAAGACATAAAAAAGCAAAACACACCTGATGCACATTCTTTGTTCTTCATTTTCCAGAAGTAGAGTTAAAAAAAAACCTTGCTGGGTTGGGGATTTAGTTTTTATTATGGCAAGAAAGCTTATAGAAAAACATTTAAAAATAATATCTCACTACTTGATGAGGTTTTTATAATGCTATTAGTTGTACCGAATTTATGTTCCTTTTTATAGGTCATTGATGTAATGATGTCTGTAAGGTTATTTACAATTTACAAAAGATTAGTTTGCTTCAACTGGATAGTGACAGCGTTTCAAAGCGTTAAATAGGCAATGAATCAGGCTTTGAGATAGAATATTAGATTGTACATAGTCAGAGTGTAAGGTTACAGTAATTTCTATAGTAATAAAATTTTAAAGAAATGTATACACTCCCTGACTATGCTTCCTCGACCCCGCTTTGAGAACCACGGCTCCAAACAGCCTGCCTAAACTGGACCCTTTCTCGACGCAATCCCTAAACAAGGCTACAAATCACAGTCAAGGACATCTTTAAAGGACAGTGACAAAAGCAACCATACAGAGCTTCACCTGCAAGTGCACCAGAACTCCAGAACTCCAGAACCCAACATAACATCAGTAATAATGGAGCTTTACCACAAAAATTGTTTATACTGCATTCAAAGGATCCAGTGCTTTAAAATTAGCAAACACAGTCTTTATTTCTTTTCACATATTGCATGTGTGATTCTCCACATCACAAAAATCACTTTTTTTCAGCCACATAATACACTCGTGCTGAGGCCATGGCTCAAACCATTATTTTTTAAAAATCTTGTTCTGCAAATATTTCAGATTATTTGTACATATAGGAAACTTTAGAAAATCCACTACTGCTTCTTTAACTGCAAAAACACACTGAAGACTATTTTCTACATAAAGCACAGAATTTCAATGAATTTTTAAACCAGGGACTTGATATTGCATAGATAATGGGGTTTATAAATGCATTACTGTAAAACAGACACATTAAATAATTTAGGATAACATTAGAGTCTGAAACATTCTCAATATTCACTAAAAATATATACAGTGGAATCCAGCACACCAAATACACAAACACAACAGTGCCTAATGTTTTTGTGGCCTTGATCTCTGATTTCCATTTCCTCCGATTAAGTCCAGGTCCAAGTCCAGGTTTTGCAGAATCAGAAATAACCTTTGCATGTCTCAGGGCAACTGTGAGAACTTTGACATACAGAATTATGATCAGTAAACATGGAACAATAAAATTGAATATAAAGTCAATAAAACCCCAAGTGTTGTTGAGGGGAATGGCACATGCTTGGTTGCAGATCACTTTCCTTTCGCCTTGTTCTGAATTTCCAATGTACATCATTGAGAGATTATAAAAGAAGGATAAGATCCATCCAAAACCCACACACTTCAGCACCACTCTCACAGACATTTTTGCAACATAACGGAAAGGGTGGCACAAGGCAAAGTATCGATCTATCGCGATCAGAATGACATTGTAGAGTGAAACGGTGCCAATGATGGTGCTGATAAAGTGATAAACAGGACAGAGACGTTTTGTGTGGTATAAACAACCATCCACAAGCATGATACACTGTAAAGGCATCATTAATGCTCCCACTAAGAAATCAGACATGGCCAAAGACAGGATGACAAAGTTAGTTGCCGTGCGGAGGTGTTTGGAGATAGTGATCGACACTATTACAACCATGTTTCCACTAACGGTAAGCACAGAAACCACAGAAAAAAAGAAAAATACAATCAAATTGCTGTGATTCAAATGGAATAATTGGAAGTCAGAGGAGCAGCTTGTGTTCCATG